TTACATGTTTTGTTTTCCAATGCCGTTCTGTTTCCATAACAAGACTTTCATTTTGTTGTTTTTATCAGGAGGACTCTGAAGAAGAAATCAAAGGAGTTTTCTACAATGAGATGTACACATTGGAGTTAGACACAGGGAAGTGGTATGATCTGGTGCTAAGGTAATGGATCCAACCACTTATACCATCAATTTAGATAGAAAACATCTTATATTTTGTACCAAGACTTATGTAACCACTAAATTTTCCTGATTGAAGAATTTGAAGAAATTATATTAAGTGTGTGTGTGCGTATGTGTGTTCACGTGCGTGCACATGTGCATCCATTGTGCAACCTATGCTTAAAATTTTTGATTAGAGGAAGGGATGATATATAGTTGATATATTGTATTTTAGGGGTAAGAAAGTAATCACAGAGAAAAAGAAAAGGAGGAGAAAAGATAAGAAAACTCAGGATGGAGAGAATGAGGAGGGAGACTGTGATGAGGAGGGAGAGGAGGAGGAGGAGGATATGGATGTTGAGGAGGAAGTCAAGCATTTGAAGATAGGTAGGAGCAGCATTCTTTTGTAGAATGAGATTTTGCTACAGATCCACAATGATATATTTTTCTTTCATATAATGCAACAGTGTGTGTGCATGCTTACGCATGTGCAGGTTAGATGAAAAATGTTTAAGGCAACACTTTTTAGGTAATCAAAATTTATTTGGGAAAATTAAGGTTTAGGTCCAAGAACAATAATGCATTGACAAACTTGTTGCATATATATATATATATATATATATTCTGTAGCTGGCAAAAGAGGGAGTTAGGTACAGAAAAATGTAAATATATTACGGTACATGCAAATTGATGTGTTATATGGAATAATCAACTTATTGCTAACACATTGAAGAAAGTATATTGAACAGACTTATGTTTTGCAGAAGGCAATAAAACAGATTCAACAGAAAGCTCATCATCACCCAAAAATGAAGAAACTACATTCGATGATGGAGTTTTCAAAGTAACAGTGGGACCACAGACAACATCTCAGTCAGGGGATGGCACGGGTGACAGTGGCTCCACCTGCATGGAAGCAGACATCTTTATGCCGAGGCCCAGGATGAATGCCATGGTAACAGTTAAAAACAACCAGTTGTTTTTGTATGGAGGTTTATATGAGGAAGGAGATAAGCAGATCACTCTGGATGATATGTATTCACTGGATGTACAAAAAGTGGAAGAATGGAACATTATATGCAAAGGCAATGTTGACAGCCAGGTGAGAAGGCTTAATAGTGTGTTAACATACAAGTTTCATCAACCTTTCTTGTAAAAATTGATAATGTGTAGCCCCTCTTTGTGGGCCATCTGATGAAGCAGAGCTCCATATTAAGGAAACTTGTCAAAAATTTACCGATTCTGAAGATTTCAGACATATTCTTTGAAATGAAAATATTTTGAGTTGTATTAAGGTTGATGCTGTGTAAGCTTATAAGGGACATTCAGTGATAACTGATTTGTAATTATTGATATGAAAATGTATATATTGAACAATTGTAGGAATGGCAGGAGTCCGATTCCTCATCAGATGAAGAAGAAGATGAAGACATGGTGTCAGAGGGCACTGGAGAAGGTGAGCCACTGTCACTTCTGCTGACATTCTGTCATTTTAATGACTTTTTAAAAGACCGTTTTAAAAACTGGCACAAGGTCACACCTATTGCAATGTCAAACTTTTCACAACTGTATTATGTCACATTTCACTCTCGTAGTTGAAAAAAATCAATAATCAGACAAAGATGTAGATCATACAGGATAACATCCCTAAAATTTGCTTTAAAAATGCATTTGATTTTATTTGCTAACTTTATAAAACAGTAAATTTTCTTAAGAGACTAACATGTCTCCTGTCTGTGTGGCATGAATTCAGAAACAACTTGACATATCTCATCATATTTCTTCACTTATTTACAGATTTGGATCTTGAAGATGCTCCTGAAATTGAGGAAGAGGAAGAGTTAAAAGACTATTTTCTAAGAACCAGAGAATTCTGGCTGGAGACTGCTAGTGACATGTTAGCTGATGAGGCAGAAGGAATGTCTTCTGGAAAGATGCGTCAAAAGGCAGAGGAGATAGCCGAGTTGTATTATAAAAGTAACACATGATACAAGGTATTGTGAATGAAAAGATTCTGAAATTTGAGATAAAATTTAAGTTAACTGCAATGTCGAATGTGTACAGGGCAGTTGGAAAATGTGAAAATGTATGTTTACAGGACAATTGTATGATTGGAAAAATTTGGTAATTTCCACTCTTTCAAAAAATCAGTACTTGACTTTGAGATGCCTTGGCCTTGACACTTGTGCTTTAGCTTCCAAGCTGTTTTCCTTTCCAAATGGCCATTCAAACATTGCCATGTATGTCATCCAAACAAAATGGCACTTTCGGGTATTTTTGGGTTGATATATGATATTTAAGGATACAAAAAATGTTACTGGAGTTCTGTTTTTATCTGTATAAATGGTATGTACATAGTAACATAGTGTATTGCTTTAAAAGAGGAACTCCTGTTTTGTAACAGTTACAGTTTGTCTGTTGAAGTCTAAATTAGAAACCAACCATTTCCCCTTACACTTTTTTCTGCTCTTATGGTCTTCATTATTATTATTTTTTACTCCTTTGCCAATTCAGTTGTTAATGTAGATTTAAACAAATCTCATATTTGTTCAAATTCCTGTGAAATCATTGCCCCATCAGAAATAAAGATAAAAGAAATTTTCTCTCCTCCATGTAGTTGTTTTGTTATGTGAAATGATGAAAAACTGTCTAAATCATGCAATAATTTTATCTATACTAATTTTTCAAGCTTTTTTTTTTAGCTATCAAATGTAAAAGTTAAGTCAAATTCACTTAAAGCCCTCAGCCAAAGGAATCTATCTGATGCAGAATTTTTGATACATTAAATTACTACTTTCACCATTTTTTACCACTATAAGTTAAGCAAAGGATGAGTTAAATAGTGAAAATTTTGCAGATAGATAGCAGCACAATCTGCCTTCAGGAAAAAAGTCTACAGTGTTCATGGTGCCCTGAGAGTGAACACTTGTTGAAGTCTTGACTCATCTCTCCAGTATATCAGACTCCAGGTGAAATGGTACATATTTCATCTATCTGCCATAATTATGAAGAGAATGTCAGACCTTTTTCTGTATGCAACTCAAAACAACTGCAATAATTAACAAAAATCCTACCATCCTGCTTGCCTGGTTTTACCTGGTATTTCCACTCTGTACTAAATGCCTCCAGTCAACCCTTTTTTAAGTTTTTGAAATGTGTAAGAAAACATCACTGAAAAGATTTCTTTTTGGACTGAGATGCTATGTAAGACTTGCAACAAGGTAACTATAGGTGTCATATTTTAAAGATAAATTCATTATTTGTCTACTGAAAATAAAAGATGTTTTATACTTTAACTATTACATAAAGAGTTAAGTAAGAAATCTGTAAATTGCCAAAAGCAAAAATTTTGCAATTGCAGTTAGGGTTTTGTTAAAAAATTGTGATATATTGCTATACTTTTTCATCAGAATTCTTGTACTATGTACTAAGTTTTGTGGTTCTACTTTCCATTACCTAGAACAAGAGCGCAGATGCTCAACAATGAAAAAGTCAAGAAAAAAATTTTCACTTGATTAGGATTTCATAATTCATTTGAAGTGGGAGTAGATTCCTGAATTGTTGCCTATCCTGAAATTTCATCAAACTTTGCGAAGGTCTATTTTTGATAAATCTTTTCCTCTAACAAAGAAACAAACAAAAATTAAAACATAATTTTCTTCCTTGGTTGCAGTAATAACTGATGTACTGCTGAATCTTAAGATATTTCTGAAACAGAGCACCTCTTTTATTCACATCCTCACAAAATTTCTCCTTTGCCTGAAGGGCATTCAGGGTAGCAAACAGACAAACCAACATCGATGAAAAAAAATAATAACCTCCTTCGTAGGCGGAGGTAATGACTGAAGTATTGCTGAACATATAGGATGTTTCTGCAACAGAGCATCCTTCTCTTCTAGCATCCTCTCAGTTTTTCTCCTCTGTGTGAAGGGCATCCAGGATAACCACCTTGCCGGTGTGATTTATCTCTCAGCTGTTGAGGTATGACACGTAAATTGATAAACAACATGTGGTGGTGTGTACAAGTAACTGGTTGAAAAATTGCAAAAGTAATTTCATTTTAGTTGTTAGGTTTTTGTGGTGAAGTGCTGCATTAGGAGGAAAAAAACCTGGCAGAAATTGATGAAATATACCTAGGAAAATATATATTAGTTTAAAAAAATATTGTGCACATGCACATGCGTGCGGGCACACCAGGAAGTACAGTGGGTGACAGGTACTTGGAGATAACGGCAGTTTTCATATGTATGAACAGATTCTATACATATTTGGCTATCTGTTTCATTTAATATTTAATTGGGAAATTATGTTTTATATATATATAGCTCCAACAATAGTTTAACCCAAAGAATCTGTACTCAGTGGTTGTCGTCATTTTTACTACATGAAACAGAAAACAAAAATATATGAATCAGCTCCAAAGAATTCAAAAAGCAAGACCCTTGGCAACTGTGATGTAACGGCTTCCCCTGTACAACCATAAAAGCAGCAAGAGTGCAAGGTGGATGTGCTGAGTGCTTCTCTCTTTCTCAACTAACACAATCTGTTGTAATTTTTTTTATTGAATCAATTCACTAGACAATTCAGTGTTTGCTTGCATTATTTTCAGTATTGTTTTCTTTTCTTTTTCTTTTTTATTAATTTTTATGCTGCTCTGAGTGCAAAAAGAATGATTTATAAAACATTTTCCTTAAGTATGTGAAAAGAATATTTGTGCAATTATTAAAATATTCACATCTTAGTTACAGGGTATAATAAAGGTTAAAATATCAAACAAGGTCACTACAACAATTGTCATTTGTTGTCAATAGTAAGCATCATGATATATTTTAGTCTTAACTTGGTTTTTTTTTTTGTTTGTGTGTTTGTTTCCTTCCCTTTACAAAGTTACTACATGGATATTACAAATTCTTGAAAGTGGATAAATTAAGACTATTCTTTGAAATTTAAACAGAATAAATTAATTACTTGCTGTGATAAATTTCTTGTGTTCAAAATGTTGAATACTTTTCAACTAAAATTTTTTTGATATTAAATTAAATTTTGTATCCAAAAGTATTTCAAAATACATTTTTGTTAATACATCTTTTGACATTCATAGAGAATATAATGATTATGAAATTATCTAGTTTTCAATTTGTTTTGCTTGCTTCCCTTCCCTTTACAACATCTTCTACATAGACACTTACAACAAGAAATACAAACTACCATGATACAAATAAAAATACTGAGTAGAAAAACCACCACATCAACTGAATAATACTGATACCAAGACATATGTGCAGAAGGTGAACGTAAATAGCTGCCGCCATGTTTGAGGACATGTTCAATCCAATAAGCTGCTTGCTGTTGTGGAGTCCATGGCTGATCACGATAAATAGCAGATAACTTCTTGGCTTTGGTGTAATATGAAGAATTCTCTATCATGGTGTTGATGTTTTCTATGAGCTCTTCTGGAGTGAAGTACAAGATATCCATCACCATAGCAACACCTCTGTGTTGCCCCCGGTAACTATTGTAAAACTGATCACCCATCAGAGGGAATCCCAACACTGGGATACCATGATACAGTGCTTCATATGAGCCCCCATTGCCACAGTGACTAACAAACAGTTTGGTGTTGGGATGGGCCAACAGGTCATTCTGTGGCAGCCATGGTAAAACTTTGACATGAGATGGCAGATTGAGTTTCTTGGAGCCAGTATACCTCCATATTACACCATATTTAATTTTTGAGAAAGCTGACAGCAATTTTTGAATTACCTGGTCAGGAATA